GGTAGCAGGCTCGATCCCCAGTGGAAGCATGCAGGAGGCAGCCAATCAATGATTTTCTTATCATTGGTGTTTCTATCTCTCTCTCTCTCCCTCTTCCTTCCTCTCTGAAATCAATAAAAATATATTATTTGAAAAAGTTGAGTTCTCCCCTCTATCTTTGAAGCCCTTTCTAAAAGCAGTGACATATCAGGGCTTTTCAAAAACAGTTGAAATTGGTTTCACTTTTACAGTAAACAGGACTTGCTGCAAAGCCAAGCAGAATTCTGAAACCCATCTGTAGGTACTTCTGAGATCATTGATATGGTTGAATGAATTAATATGAGAAAATGTTTCTTTAAAACGTCCACCAGACTGTTAAACTCAGAGCTAACATATGGGTCAAAGTGGGGTGGTAGATTTGCTTACATTTGTTTTTCCTATTAATTATTGGAGTGCTCACATACATTATTGGCCTAAGTCCAGTAATTTCCTCTTCTTTATATTGCCCACCTCTCCTTCTAGGAGGCAGAGGAGGAGACTAAGCCACGAGGAAAGATGATGAGGTTTGAATAGTTTTTTCCATCTCTCTTTCCTTCTTCCATTTGACAGAACCCTGTAAGAACATTTCAAGACAGGATACAGTCCTGTGGTCTACTTAGAAATCAGTTTAGAGGACATTTCAAAGAAGATACCATGTTAGTTTTGACTGGATATCCATATAAACTTTTTAAAGAAATGAGTGATAGAACTAACCCTTATCTGTAAGTTGTGAATTTATATTGTTTCTTTCCATGTATAAAACCAATTTTTTTTTTTTCCCTACAAGTAGACTTTTTGTGTGTTGGGGTATAAAGGAAAGCAGAATGTTTTATCATGATTTGGCTTCAGCAACTTTGGGACAAATTAAAATTCCTAAACTCCGGTGCCAGAAAGAACTAAAATAAATTGCCCACTTCTAAGGGGCTTTCACTTCAGGAATCTGCCCAGTGCGTTCCTGTTGCTGCTCCTTGCCACCACATGGTGTCGCTGTTGAAGACTGGTCCTGTGCAGTTGTGGTAGCAGACCTGCTCATGGCTTCCTTCTGTGATGCCTTTGCTTGTCTGGCAAGGAAGGAGATGGCCACTCCCTCACTGGCAAGATTGCTCTGCCCTCAAGCTCCTGAAACTATCTTCCCAGCCACTTCCATGGCAAGAGCAAGTCATGGGCCTAGCCATTCCTCTCCCTAATCTTTGGGGGCCACCTTGCTAAAAGATGAGACCGTTTTTTTCAAGACATTCCAAACACAAAAGATCTTGTCCTCAGAATAGTGAGGCCAGTGCTCTATCTAAAAATAACTTAAGGGATATATCTCCAAGGATATTACAACAAGAGGATTTATCTTGAGTCTCACTTTTGAGTAACATTTCAAATATCTCTTCTTCAAAGCAGAAAGTTGGCCAGGTGATCTACAGTATCTACCTATTTAGAGAGGCTGCTAAAATTTTCAAGATTCTGTTCAGAGTTGATCTTTACCATGACAAGCATTTGTTGTATATCAGTAAGTCCTCAATGTTGTGGATAAGTTCGGCAACTTTAAATATGTTTTTAAAGAAAAAGGGAGAGGGAGAGAAACACATCAATGTGAGATAAACATTGATTGGTTACCCCCTGTAACACCCCCACTGGACCGGAAACCTGGGCATGTACCCTGACCTGGAGTAGAACTGGTGACCTTTTGGTGCACAGGACAAAGTTCAACCAAGTGGTACTGGCTAGGGCAGGTTCTTCAACTTTAAAAGCAACAACGTATAACCAGTCTTACCACAGGTTAACTGATATAAGTTAAGTTCCTATGACATATGACAAAAACATTTTCATTCTAACATTACTCAAGGACCTGCTGTATGTTAAATGTGGAATAAAACTGTGTGTGTTCATGTGCATCCTCATGCGTATATATATATATATTTTTTTTTTCATTCAAGAGGGATAGAGAAATAGAAACATAGATGAGAGAGGAACATTGATTGGCTGCCTCCTGCCTGCCCCCTACTGGGGATTGAGCCCACAACCCAAGCATGTGCCCTAACTGGGATTGAGCCTGTGACCTCTTGGCTCCTGGGTTGATGCTCAACCACTGAGCCACACCAGCCAGGCTTGTTTCTTCTTAGTTTAAAAAGAGTAGGTAATGATATGTCTGATAAGGGGTTACTATCCAAAATTAATGAACTTATAAAACTCAACACCACAAAAACAATCCAATTTAAAAAATGGGCAAAAGACTTGAATAGACACTTAAGAGAATCTGCAGATTGCCAATAGATGTATGAAAAATGCTGTCTCTAATCACCAAAAAATCCAAATTAAACCTATAATAAGATATCACTTCACACCTATCAGAATGGCTATCAATAAATTGACAAACAAGTGAGAGAAAAGGGAATTTTTGGTTAGATGTAAATTGGTGGACTCACTGTAGAAAGCAGTATGGAGTTAACTGAAAAAATTAAATATGGAACTGCCTTTTAATCCAGTGATTCCACTTGAGGGAATTTATCCAAAGAAACCTGAAACACTAATTCAAAAGAATATATGTACCCCTATATTCATTGCAGTGTTATTTACCATAGCTAAGATTTGGAAACAGACCAAGTGTTCCATCAGTAGATTGAGTGGATAAAAAAGCTGTGGTAAATTTACACAATGGAATACAACTGTGTTGTAAAAAGGAAGGAAATGTCACCCTTTGCAATAGCATGGATGGACCTGGAGAACTTTATGCTACCGGTAAGTGAAATAATTCAGAGAAAGAAGTAGCATATGATTTCACCCATATGTGCAATTTTTAAAAAATGTTACTGATTTTAGGGAGAGGGAGAGAAACATCAATGATGAGAATCATTGATCGGCTGCCCCCTACTGTGGATGGAGCCCACGACTCTGGCATGTGCCCAGAGGGAATCGGACCATGACCTGCTAGTTCATTAGTCCACACTCAACCACTGACTCACTCTGGCTGGACCTTAGGTGGAATTTAATGAACAATCTGAACTCCCAAAATAGAGACAGACTGGTAGATAGAGGGCAGGCAAACAACTGGGGAAGGTGATTAGGGGGGTGGAGGGTTTGGGCAAAAAAAGACCAAAAAAACACACAAACTGATGGGCTTGGACAACTGTGGTGACGGGGGAAGAGGGCTTAGAGGGGGATAATGATGGGAGAAAAAACCTTTAAAATATTAAAAAACATAAAAATAAAGAGTAGGTGAGTGCTTTCCAGTTTTCTTAAATAACCTGACCCATGCAAAACATTATTTTTGTACAATCCTTGATCAAAAGATAACTATATACATCTAGAAATTAAAAGGAGAGGCAGGACTAGATTATACTCGGGGGAGAGCTTTTTCTTTAGTTCTTTTTGAGGGTTTGTTTATTTTGCTTATCGTAAGTGAGATAAAGAATATTTCCGAGTGGGCAGGTTTCCAACTTGGACCATGTGCACAAAGCACCTCATTCTAAGGAGAGTAACTGAACGAAATATTTTGCCCATGTTAACTTTCTCCCACAAATGTGATGTAAAACTTTTCACATGTGCCGAAGCAGCCGTTTTTTGCAAATAACAAATGCAAGACTAACAGGTGTATGGCAGATCCAAGACGCACATGTGTTTCTCATCAGCTGCCTGTCTTCTGTTTTAAATCTAGGTTTTCCGGTAACAACCAAATAAGTTATTTCTCCTGAGGCTACGGCTAATAATCCACTCAGCCTGCCTTTCCACCCCTCTTCTCACAATAGAATTTATAACAGCTTCTAGAGGAGAAGACGGCGATGTACGAGGGCAGTAAGGGGGCTGGGCGGGGAGCCCTAGACAGTTAACTCTGGGTGACCTTGGGCCTTAGTTTCCTTCTTTAGGAAACGATTGGTTCATAAAATGAGGGTTGTTTTTCCAGCCTCCACCCCAAGCAGGGTGGGTCTTTTAAAGCCAGTGGTTCTCCACATGGGGAGATTCCGCCGGCCCCTGGAGGAGCAGAGACCAGGCACGCTGCTCAACACCCCGCCACGAACAGGACGGCCCTACAAAGGAGTGATCCGGTCCCAAATGTCACTGGGGCACAGGTTTGCAAACCACGGGGGGCGGCCCAGGGGCTGGCTTGGAAGCTATCCCAGCTGGGGTGGCGGCTCCTCCGAGGGACGCGTCTCTGTCTCAGCTAGGGCGGTGCAACCCCCGCCCTTTGGGGTGCACAGGGACGCGGGCGGGGCGTTCCTCCGCGCCCCTTGGAAGACCCTTACACGCGCATCACTAAGTGGGCGGCTGTCGCCCTCGCCCCAGAGAACGCCGATCGAGAAGCTCGGAAGGACGGACCCCTGGCTCGGAAAACTTGGCAATTTCTCCCGCCCACGACCCCTGTCACCTCCGTCAGTGCGGGAAAGGCTTTTCTCCCCTGAGGGGGTCCCCACAGCGCTGGGTTCAAGGACTCCGCGCACATCGCGGCTATCCGTCAGGAAGCTCCGCCTACGACATGGACGGGGGCGGGGCCTCCAAGCTGCGGCCGTTGCCCCGCCCAACCGCCTCTCAACGGCTCCCCAGGTTGGGGGGTGGGGCGGCGCTGGGTTGCGGCGAGTGCGCCTGCGTGCGCCTGCGTTCAGGCGCGGGGCGTGGCTCGCGCGTGGCCCCGCCCAGGCCTGGCGTCTCCGCCCGCCCCATCTCCCAATCTCCTCAGCGTGGCGCCGACGCTGCGTGCGGCGCGGGTTACCCAGAGTGCTCCGCGCGGGGGCAGCTCACTGGAGTTTGGTTCTCGAGGCGGCGGCAGCAGCGGCGGCGGCGGCTCCGGCGGCTCCTCCTCCTCCTCCGGTGGCGGCGGCGCCCCGGGCCCGAGCCCCGGCCCCGGCTCCCCTCTCCGCCACCCCGCGCGCCCCCATCCTCCAGCGCCGCGGGGAACATGAGGCTCCGCTCCCGGAGGCCGGCGAGTGAGTGACCCTCGTCCCCCGTCTCAGCCCGCCCGCCCGCTGGCCTGGCCTCTCCCCCCCCGCCTCGCCCAGGCAATGACAGCGGCTCCGTCGTCTCCGCAGCAGATCAGGGACCGGCTGCTGCAGGCCATCGACCCCCAAAGCAACGTATGTACCCCTCGCGCGGGCCGGGACCGAGGCCTCGTGGGCCCGGGACCCTCCCCTTCTCCGGTATCCCTCATTCTCCGGGCTTCCGGGACCCGTCTGAGGCCCACCTTTCCCCGAGGGCCGCTGCCATCCCAGCCTTTCGCCCCCCAGGCCCAGACCCGGGGCGCTCGGTACGTGAGGCCGAGGCTTCGGTGCGGCCTGGATGAAGGGAACAGACCGGATCTGAGGCCAGAGCTTTGCCTCCCTTCCTGCTCCAGCTCTATGGCTCTTGCTGCTCCTGACGGGGCTTACCTTCCTTGTTCTTCCCCCGAGACCCGAGACCCCCGGGAAACCCTCCGGGCGTGGGGAGGGAAGGGAGAAAGGCTGTGGAGCAACTGGTGTCCTGGGTATAATTCGGGGAGCCCTTGCCACCCGTGTCTTGGTCTTCTGTGTGATCAGGGAAGTCCTCCTCTCTTCTGGCTGGAAGCACATTGACTTCGGAGGGAACCCACCCTCCGTCACCCCCCTCTCCCCCGGGCCCGTTTTGCCCCTAGCTGGGTGCTCAGGGCGATTGGAGAGGCCCCTCGGTTCTGGGAGTGGCCATGCCTTTGCCGGGCCCCTCTTGGGGTCGCAGCCAACGAAAGATAGTCTTGGGGAAGGTGGGATTCTTCACGTTGCCTTTCTGGGCCTAACTGCCCCCTGCGTCTCTGACCAAACCAGAGTCCTACTTTTTGGTAGATAATTAGAGGTGATTCTTTTCTCTTTCTCCCAAGAACCCCGTTTCGGTTGTCCCTTTCCCATACCTAAGGGTCCCAGCCTAGTGGTTTGTGACCTAGAAGGTCAGGGTTAACCCCAAGTTGTCTTTCTCAGATGTCCCTACAATGAGGCTACTGTTTGCAGAGGGATCTCCCCTGCTCCCTCCGTGTGTGAAGGGAAAGACTCATCATGTTCTCACATATTCTCCAGTGGGTGGTTGGCGATAGGGGTATCTTCCCCTGTGGCAGGAGCAGGTTGATCAATGGGAAGATGGTATCCCGGTATGAAGTGAGTCCCTGCATTTGCTGGGAGACCAGGAAGTGGCCATTGAGATCACTTTTTAACATGCTGGGGATGGAAGGAAAAATCATCTTGGGCTTGGCCAGGTAACTTTCAGTTGGAGCTTTTGGTTTTCCTTTATGTGAGCTTGGCTAATTACTCTTAGTATGCTTTAGCCAGTTTGTTGTTGTTGTTGTTCCAGTTTGTTGCTGTTGTTGTTGTGTGTGTGTGTGTGTGTGTGTGTGTGTGTGTGTGTGTTTAAATCGTGCTGGATTGTGCAGTTTTGGTAGAAACTGAGGAATTATTCTTCTCTAACCTGGTTTCTGTGTCATAAGTACCCCTTGTCTTCAGGCCCCATTAAGACTGACGGTGGGAATTGTCTTTAACAAATGTATACATTTTGGGGGGTGGAGTAGGCACAAGCTATGTAAAACCTTCCAGAATTTTTGCAGTAACTGGTGCTGCTATACTTCTCAAGACAGAAATATTAGAGGATAAAGCAAGTGACATACAAATGTAAGTCTTGATGACTTTTGTATCTTTGTGGAGTCCCAGTGTAATTTCTTGAATTCCACGTGCTTGTTTGATTTTGGGGGAGTCTGAGAGTGGCTGAGATGTTAGCATTGATCCTTAATGCTACCTAGGAGAGCTTTGGGATCAGAAGGTGCTTTCACAAGTGTTCATGATTTTGTAGATTAGGTGGGGCAGCAACCTCAGGGGTTGCATTATGTGTAAGGCTCTAATCTAGAGGTTTCCTACAAGTAGGGGAGGAAAAGGGACTAGCCAGAATCTGGAGGAGGGAACAAATCTCAGCTTCATGTATCCTGGTGCGTGCAGGAACATTACATCCATATGAGCTAATGGCTGTGTTACATGGCATAGAATTCACATTTCATGTAGCTTGTTTTGGGTGACTCTAGTGATAGGTGTGCATAGAATCCTACTAAATAAGTGTAATGGATGGAATTTGGAAATTGTATCTTTGAATGTGAGTGATGAGGAAAGTACCTCCTTTAGATGCTGCCATTGTTAGTGTTTGTGAACATTGTTAATAACCATTTGACTAGAGTGTGGCTTACAGCAAACAAAGTATAGAAACTCAGAACCAGGGTGGAATGGGTTTCTGGTGGAGAATGTGCAACAGTATGGCCAGTACAACAGGCTGTAGTTGTCTTTTGACCTGGGTCCAGGTAAGAGTGAGGTGGCTCCAACAAGGCATTGCTGCTATGCAGCTGCTGCTCTTCTTTTCCCAATTATGAACTCCACTTCTGGATAGTTAGTTGACACATATTTAAGATGCTCATGGAAAAAATGGGGACAGAGTTGAAGAGCCTACACTAAAATTAAACGCCTTTTGAGAGAAGCAACACAGAATTGTGTTATGTAATGCTTACCTTTATGAGCATTTATGGTTAACAAACAGCTTTTGCTTGAAAAAAAATCAATGTGGCACTGCAAGTATCTGAAAAGTTAGTGAAGTAACAAAGTAACATTTACTGACCTCCTTGACAGAAGAGTTCTTAAGAGAAAAGATGTTTCTTTGCTTCTTTGCTCTAAATTCTAGCCTCCGGAGTATTTGAATTTCTATAGCATCAACTCAGTACTGAAGTAATTCTTCTATACTCCTTTTCAGGTACAACTAAGAGTTTTTTCAGATACAACTAAGAGTTTTTCCGAACAGTCGAGCCTTACTCTTCTGGTGTGTCAGACCAGAGTATTAATACTCAGTTTCTCTTGAGTGCAATGTGTACATTTGTTACAGCTTAATCTTGCTTCATTAAAGATGAAGTTGAGGCAGTGTCTTTTCCTGCCCAGAAATCAGAGTTAGTCCACCCCAGCAGTCTCTTCAGCAGGTGATTAGGTTCCCACTTTTGTTTCACAAAAGTTCAGACTTTGTCTTCCTGACCAGAATGAAAGTTTTGTGAGCATGGTTTGTTTCTTATCTTCTCTCTCTAGAACAGAAGCATTAGTATGTACCTTCTAAGTGCTGGTTAAACTGACTAACCCCTAGAAAATCCTTCTTGGACTTATGACTGAGGAGCTGCATTTGAGCCATCTTTTACAGACAAGCCCTTGTGATTGCTATAGGCCCTGGGGTTCAATATGGTGTATTCTAATGCAGGACTCTGTAGAGTTGTAAGGAACATGAGCATCTGAGTAAAGGTCTGACTGGAATGGTGAACAGGTACTGAAGCCCCATGGCAAGTTGAATAACAGCATAAGGCAGGCCTTGCTCAAGGCAAGTGAGTATCGCTATAGTCAGAGCAGGGAGTGGCTAGCGGAGGCATTGCGGGGAAGAGGGACTTGAACCGGCCCTGGACGCTAGTGTAAATGCCTGCCAGCAGTCAGGCTCTTTGGCAGGAAACTTCAGGCATAGCTTTCTTCTTCACAGTCTGCAGACATCAGGTTCCAACAGGAAGTGACCAAGGGTCTCTGCAGAGAGACACACTAAAGAAGGATAATTTTCCCACCTAAGAATTTGAAGGTTAAGATGCTGCTTAGTTTCCCTGGGCTGCAGGTTCCCCATCTGCAAAGTGGAACTGGGGACTGGAGTATGTGGCACTCCTTCCCAATCCAGGGTTCAGTTATGGAAAGGGCAGCCGAGGCTAATATGAATTGTCTTAAAAGTTTTTTAATGCAATGTGTATTGTGTGAACTTCCTAAGATAACCAAGTTTTACACAGATATACACACTTCATAGGACTTTGAACAGCATTTTAACAGCATCTTCTACTTCCTTTCACCAACCTGTAAGGAAGGTGAGCTGAGCCACCTGTCTCTCATTTCTGCACAGTGATGGTATATGCTGCCCAGTGAGTGTCTCTTGTGTCCAGGAGAGGACAAGGTGCTTTTGTTACTTACTGACTTCATGTGAGGTGACTGCCCCAATACCCAAAGTTACTAAGTGATATGCCTCCAACACTGCTTTCAAAGATGGAGAGATGGCTCTGAAGAGGCCTAAGAGGGCAATGTCCTCAAGCTGATAAGACAAGGTACGTGAGCCTCTTCTCTCTCACGTAAGTTTATATGTGACTCCCAGTTAGTTGGGTTAGATTTACCTGTGCCAGATCTAACAGGTTGACAATATTAGGCAGCCTGCCCCAGAAACATCTTAAGGTTACTATTAGGGACCACACTGTGGTGTGGCAGCTGCCAGCTGACGTGGAACTTTTCATGAGTCTTGTTCCAGCTTTGTTTTCTGCTTCCAGGTTATAGCAGTTTTTATATTAATTTCAAATGCCATTGGTTTCTGCAGAAAAGAAGACTCTTGTAAAATAGAAGACTGTTTGTTCTGATTCTCTCCAATATATTGGAGGATATGAAATCTAAGTATGTCTCTGCCTGATCACACTGTTGTCCAAATTCAGTGACATTATTATGTCTTTGTTCTTTTTTTTTTTCTTTTTAAATATATTTTATTGATTTTTTTTTTTTTTTTTTTTTTTTTATAGAGAGGAAGAGAGAGGGATAGAGAGCTAGAAACATTGATGAGAGAGAATCATCGATCAGGTGCCTCTTGCACACCCCCTACTGGGGATGTGCCCGCAACCAGGGTACATGCCCTTGACCGGAATTGAACCCAAGACTCCTCAGTCAACAGGCTGACGCTCTATCCACTGAGCCAAACCGGTTTTGGCCTGTCTTTGCTCTTTATACCGTAGCCAGGATCTATGGGGAGAGCAGTGTGGTGTGTTATGACTGTGGGAAATAGACAGGTAACAAGTGTCCATTGTGAAGCAGGTGTGTGTCCTTGTTGTGACACTCCCTCAGAAAAAGGTGGACTTTCCATTGCATCTTCATGGAGATCTCTGGGTGGTCCTCAGAATGGCTTTAATTGGACTATGTTGTACTTTTTTGAAAATGCAAAAACTATGTTTTTACTGATTTTTAGAGAGAAGAAGGGAAGGGAATAGAGAGAGAAACATGGATTGGCTGTTTCCTGCATGCCCCCTTCTGGGTATCGAGCCCAAAACCCAGGCATGTGT